TTCCAAAAGCAAATTACTTATATGCACATCTTCAGGGGGAGCCCTTGCCACTTATGAAGACAATACCCTATCCTTTACAATTTCACATACTTCTTTCTCGTTGAAAACTTCAACCAGTTTGTCATCAATCACCAAAAAGGGGGAGATTATAAGTGCATCTAGTGCCACCCCTAGTTGGTTTTGGAGTATTGACGACAAAGTTGGTTGAGGGACTAATGCGTTTGTGAGAATTGCAGGATAACGCAGGTAGTGTCCCTCATTGATTCGGTTTACCTACCGAAGATGACCCCTAAAAATGTATGAAGACATTGAAGACAATGGTGGTGTGTGAAGATATTCACATTGAAGACTATGACATGAGAAGACATTGAGTGAAGACTATGGAGCGCGAAGACTGAGTTGTTTCGTTGTTTCCTTTTCTTCTTTGTTGAGTCATAGGAACCACCGTACTGTTAAGTGGGGTCCAAGTGAACAAAGTCAGAGTGACTGAAGTGATGCTCAACCCAAATCCTATGTCTTCGAACGAAGACAATGAGAGCAAATTTTATCCAGAGCTGGATGAGTCAGCTTTGCTTGTAGCCCAAGTAAAGTTGCCGTGTGTGTTTGAAATCTGACCGTTGGAACACGTGTCAGTTCCTTAGTGACCCAGGGTCATTTCGGACATATCAGGTCGGGTTGCCTTGTGGTTATAAATAGCCCACCCTCTACACCATAAATTGGTGGCTGCTCAGAGTTAGTTTACGGCTTTTGTCGTTTTGAGAGCAACCCACCTCGAAGCCTTTGAGAGAGAAATCCTTGCGAGGACAAAGCCCAAACACCCAGAGCCAAAGAGTGTTAGGCATCACTGAAGTCTTTCTGTCTGAGTGACCTGAAGACTTATTACACTTGAGGACTGTGTATCCTCCAGCCGGTTAGGCGTCGCGTTCTGAGCATCCAAGAGTCACTGTGGATCGCCGGTGAACAAAGTCTGTGAAGGTTCGGAAGTCTACCTTGAAGACTTACCAGAGTGATTGGGCGAGGACTGTGTGTCCTTAGCTCAAGGGGATTAAGGTGAAGACGCGGTCTTCTGAGTTGAATCTCAGCCTCCCTAACCAGACGTACAGTTGTCACAGCAACTGGAACTGGTCCAACAAATCATGTGTCTTCAACAAGTGACTGGTTCTATCTTTTCCCTCCCTTTACTTTGAGTTTGTCTTCGTGAAGTCATTGCCTATTTGTCTTATCTGTTTGACTTCATTGCTTGACTACTATCGTTGATTGGCTTCATACTATCTTCCATCCTGATCCTAACTACCTAGCTGCTATTAGTCTTTGTACATTCACATAATTGCATACTTGACTATGGCTTGCTTGTTATAGTTTATCTTCCGCTTCATATCAATTAGGTCATTTCTATTGCTTGTCTTCGAAACTTCCACGTTTTGAAGACTTTAATAAAAATCGCCTATTCACCCCCCTCTAGTCGATAACTAGCACTTTCAATACATGAGATCATAGAGTATTCATTGGCATTTAATTTTTGTAAATTGTTCATGAGTTTTAGGAGGTCAAATTTTGAAGCTCATAATTTAGCAAAGCATGCATTCTCTCTCAGCGGTGGCCGCCATGTTTAGTTAGGTCATCCCGAAGATCTTTCTTCTGTCTCTGTGAACATTGTGATGACTTAATAAAGGCTTCATGAGACAAGGTTTTTGACCTTGGTACGATCGCGTGTACGAGCACGGGTAGTGCAAGGAGAGATGACCGCTTTTGGCGGAAATGTTCAAAAACACAATGAAGCGATAATCAAAAGTAGCACTTTATAGACAGAGGTAAATACGCTAGTGGTGCTTTAACTTGCCACGGATATTCACTTTAGTGCCTGAACTTGAAAAATACATCTAACTAGTTCTAAAACTTGGCACGAACGTATAAATACGGTGCTAATCACATCTGTAGACGTAAAGTGCATCCACGTGGCACCATATATGGATGATGTGGCCCTGACATAGTGTGGGGCCCAACTGTAGCTGGAAAACATAATTATTACTTGAGTACTATATACAACTCTGTGACTAGTGGGCCCACTTGTCAGTACATTAGAAAAATTAATATGAAGAATGAAAAAGTGCAACAAACAGGAATCGAACAAGCAACCGGATGACTGCCAGCTAGTTGCACTGGCCACTATACCAAACATGTACTTATTACTTTTAAAATAATGTGTGCAACATGGCCACTGGCTGTAGTCAATTTATGTACATAAGAGTTTATTTGTTTAAGTACATAATATGTGAGGGACTTTTTTTGTCAACAAAATATGTTGGTTGGAGTGGCTGGCGCATGCATCGCACAAGGTGCAGGTAGTATGTTCGATTCATGTAGTGCAGATTTTTATGTTAATTTTCCTAATTACTGAGAGGCGGCCCACTACTCGTAGAGTATAGTGCTTAAGCATTTTTGTTTTCGGAACTACGAATGGGCCCCGCGCCATGTTAGTGACACATCAGCCATATACATTGCCACATCGATGCATATTATGTCTACAGACAGCGTTACCACCGTATTTACCCGTTCGTGTCAAGTTGTAGAACCAGTTCGATGTATTTTTCAAGTTTAGGCACCAAAATAAACATCCATGTCAAGTTCAAGCACCACCGGTGTATTTACCTCTTCTAGACAATACATACTACCTACACTCGGCTGTGGAGTGATAAATAGAGAAAGCCACACGGACGACCTTTCTTACAGGTCGCAATTGTTGTTCTACCGGCTAGTACTTACTTGGAAGCAATAGACAGAGACAGAGGTACATACAACATTTCAGCTTCGTCTACAGGCAGGAAGTGGAGGTGAGATCAGACGTCGGCCTTGTGCTCCGGGCGGTGCGTGAACTTGAAGTCGACGTGGACGAAGGCGCGCTCCACCTCCGGCAGCTGCTCCAGCTTCTCCTGCAGCGCCTCCCCGATGTCGTGCGCCTGGCTGAGCGGCATGTCGCCGGGGAGCACCACGTCCACCTCCACGAAGTAGTGCGTCCCGAAGGTGTATGCCCTCACGGTGTCGATGTGCCGGATATCCTCGTGGTGGTTCCAGATGAGGTACGTGAGCTTGGTCAGGTACTCCGCCGGCGCCGACCTCCCGATCAGCGTGCCTACGTTCTCCAGCACCGTTCTCGCCCACGTCGTGATCGTGTACAGCGCGATCTGCATGCATTTGATTACGTTGATTACGTTGATTACGTTGGACAGGTTGTCGCCTCTCGCCCTCGACAGGTTGAGTCCGCAAGCCACATCCCCTTCCATTACGTACATGCGTCGAACGCAAAACCCACCTACTAACTCTAGTCTTCACATCGTTCCTTGTTTAACTCGCTGGGTCCGCAAATCATCAAGCGCGTGCGGAGGGAGTAATTTGCTGCTCCTCTTCTAATCTATGGGACTATATATGAAAGAGTTGCTTGCTATTGTGCTTCTCTGATGACGCTTTCTCAACAAGTTTTATCACCATCGTTGGGCATCCACATTGTTAGCAACACAATAATGTTTCTCCAGGAATCATTTGCACTTAGTAATATTTTTGTTCATATTATATGATGATATGCTTCGTATGCTTTCCTTTTGTGATCATTGTTGTAGTTTGCGCGGGCTCGGTGTGGATTACATCGGCCTTTACCAAATACATTGGCCTGACTGATTAGTACAATGAATTCATTCCATGCCAGAGGCTGCAACTGTCATGTCGTGCATCCTGGAGTCCTAATACAACTCATGCTTACCCTGCTGTTATGTTCCCATGTTTATAGAGATGGAATACTACAACTTAAGCCGCGAGTACGCACTGTAAGGATAGAACAACTAGATGCACTTGGAAAATCTCGTGTAATTGGTGTTGTACTGTAAAAATGTACTCCCTATAAAAAGTTTACAGAGGGAGTATATTCTATGGCTACATCGAATTGCACACAATGATAACCCTTTCTTCCGAAGAACCCTTTCTGGTGTTTGTACCTTCAATGTGAGTTATAACAAGTTGTACCTTGCCATTAAATATTTATACTACTCCCTCCGTTTCTTTTTAGTTTGCATATAAGATTTGGTGAAAGTCAAACTTTGTAAAATTTGACTAGCTTTATAGGAAAAGATATCAACATTCACGCTATGAAATTAATATGTATTAGATATATGACAAAATTAATTTTCATAACATATAACTTTAGTATTTTAGATGTTGATGTTTTTTCTATAAAGTTAGTCAAACTTTACAAAGTTTGACTTTGACCAAATCTTATATGCAGACTAAAAAGAAATGAAGGGAGTACTTATGTTCCATATTCACCCTAAAACTTCTCTAAAGCTACTAAACTTTTTCATGTTTTCTGAAGCTACCATGTATCCCCTTGCCTAAACTTTGATTGTAGACTGATGTGCCATTAACGACGGTGTCGAGTTTGTAATGGCGAGTGGAGATAGTGGTGAAGAAGACGAAGAAGAAGGGTGATTTATAAAATTAAGCAGAAGTTGGCAACATTGTTTAATGTGCACGAGGATCTTAGAGATATACAGGTTTCACATGATTCGTTATGTCCGTTGCAACACACAGTCAATTAACTAGTATTAGAAGAAGAAAAAAGGTACTCCGGATTAATTGACGCGGTCTCTTAGCCCAAAAACAATTACTTTGATGCAACCCAAAAATCATAATATTAGAAAAAAAAAAGGTATAGTACTCCCTTCGATCCGAATTAATTGATGTGATCTCTATACTACTACAATGTTCAGGTAGTTGTGATAAATAACAAGGCGACATGACCTTTCATGCCATAGACGTTATACAAGTGCCTACAAGCTAGTACTAGTACTTTCCAAGCGGCGTAAGAGATTTTAAGTGAAAAAGGCATGGCAATAGAAGAAGGAAAAAACAGGGCATGCACACACATACATTCTCCATTCCATACTCGTACCGGAGATCACATACTCCTACAATACAATGCATGATTCAGGAGAAGACCATGCACGATGAGATCAGACGTCGGCCTTGTGCTCCGGGCGGTGCGTGAACTCGAAGTCGACGTGGACGAAGGCGCGCTCCACCTCCGGCAGCTGCTCCAGCTTCTCCTGCAACGCCTCCCCGATGTCGTGCGCCTGGCTGAGCGGCATGTCGCCGGGGAGCACCACGTCCACCTCCACGAAGTAGTGCGTCCCGAAGGTGTATGCCCTCACGGTGTCGATGTGCCGGATCTCCTCGTGGTGGTTCCATATCAGGTAGGTGAGCTTGGTCAGGTACTCCGCCGGCGCCGACCTCCCGATGAGCGTGCCCACGTTCTCCAGCACCGTCCGCGCCCACGTCGTGATCGTGTACAGCGCGATCTGCATGCATGCAACCACAGTTCATTCAAATTAACATCTCTGGCTAATCTGGTTTCCATTGTAGAAGTAGATCATAAGTATTTACCAGTATGGCTCCGACGGGATCCATCCACCACTTGAACTTGACGGCGAGGAGGGCGCTGACGAGGCCGACGGAGTTGGTGATGACGTCGAAGAAGTGGTCCTGCGCGTACGCCCGGACGATCTCGTTCTTGAAGGTCCGGCAGTAGAGCATGAGGAAGAACTTGACGACGGCCACCGACGACATGCTGCCCACCATCCACATCTCCTTCCAGGTGTCGAATGTGGTGTGCTCCTGCGTCACCAGCTCCCGCCCCGACTCGATCAGCACCTGGAACCCCAGGCACCCCATCACCGACGCGAAAACCACGATGCCCTGCCACAATGTCAGCAACTCTAACCATCAGTCATCAACATGCACAATGCAAAAACATGGTTGGAGTGCATGAAGAACAGCATATGTATATATACCACTGGCTGCATGCGCCTCTTGCCGATCGGGTAGCTGTACTTGTTGGGCTTCTTCATGGCGTGCGCCGTGAACCAGAGGATGAACCCTGACAGGAGGTCCAGCAGCGAGTCCAGCGTCGACGCGATCACCGCCATCGACCTCGTCTCGAATGAAGCGACGACTTTCCCGACGAACAGGACCAGGTTGATGATGTTCGACAGGTTGATCGCCAGCTTTTCGCCCTTGGCCAATTGCCGCAGCTCTTCCTGGTTAAGAGAACAGTGAGGACTAGTACTAGATAGGTAGGTACGTATACTAGGGAAAGCTGTTACGCATGTAACAATGGATTCTGGATTTGTACTACCTCGGTAGGAGCACTGTTCTGATCCAAGCAGCCGAGCTCATTCATGCTCTCCATCTCGCTGAAATCCTTCAGGAGACTCTCCTGCTTCTCGTAGTACTTTGCGATTTTCCTTTGTTTCCCTGAGATGCATAACTTTGTTGTCACAAGGAACATTGATCAAATGCTAAAGGTGGTTTTCGGTTCCACCGGTGCAACTGAATTCAGTGCTACGTACTCGTTATTCCCTGCATTCAAGTGACAATAGGGACAATAAACATGTATGGTCTCCAACATGCTTAGGGATCCTTGGTCAAGTGATTTTCATTACAGCTACTAATAGTGAAGGTTGGGGGTAGTTTCCCCGCAAATTCTATTCTACGCTCTATGCTAATAATAGAACCCAAAGCGCAGTCACACACAATCACATAAATAAATGAATGGTTTCTTAAGACATGATTATTATTTTTCATAAACATGTGAACATTTTTGAAACATGGGGATACATTTTTGGCCAGTATTAATTCAGTAATATATGGATGTTTCCATTATTATTATTTTTCGACAAAATTGTCAACTTTATTAAATAAATATATATGTTTTATCGAAAGAAAAATAATGGGTTGTACAGTAACTCGCCCATATTTTTTGACAAAGAGTGAATTTTATTGACTCATAATGAAGCATCAAGGGGATAAAAACATAACGAGTACACACCCCGCCATCCACTAGCACCAAGACACGCAAAAGAAACACCGGCAAAGACCAAAGTTATGCCTACGCGAGGAAAAAAAACCTAGGCGATCAAAACAGTGATTGACAAACTACAGTAGGACCATATCCGCACCAACTAGCTCTTGACAGCACAAAGACATCATGAAAGGTTCCTCAAAAGCAACTGGCCCATATAAGAGGGCTTGAAGTGATTTGGCTTAGGAAAGAAAAAGGAGCGAAAAATCTCTCGATTTTTTGAGAAACACAAAAAACGGAGAGGAAATATGAAGGTAGCGGAACGGAATCAGATTTTTTTTTACGCGGAAACAGAAACAGAATGGAACGGATTTTTTCTGGTGAAACAACATTCTGTTTTCATAAATACGGAACTTTCCACTATTTCACGACTCATGTGGCCCAGACCACTCAATAAAACCTATGCTGCGGCCCAACAACCTCGATGTCAATCACCTTCTGCGTTTCACTATACCAAACATGTCACACCAAACACCGAGAGTTTGTGTTTCCAGATCGGTTGGTTCCCTTCAGATCTTGGCAGTTGGTGTGTCTTTCAAGGAGTACTTTTGGCTGGCATTTGGTGTGGCGACCACGACATCTTCTTCTGTGTTGTTTTGTGGCTTAACCCGGTTTTTCCAACCCTCTGATCTGGTGGTGGTGGATTGCAAGCTTGTTCTGCTTGGGGTGATGCTCCAGCCGATGTTGCTTCAACGACTTTTAGATCTCGTCTCAAGGGGCGAGTGGCTATTGCGGTCTTCAAAGTCTTGTGTGGCGAGGGCATTTGCAGGTCTTGCTTTTCTTTGCTGTTGGTTCAGTGCAATTTTCAATCACCGGCGGGCAGCGTACAATCAGAGGAAGAAGAAGACTAGTATGCTTTTTATTGTAATTTTATTTTTTACTGGTTGTTCTACGTCCAGTTGTCTATCCTTTGTACTGGCCTTTGTTTTCCTCGATGATAATCAGATTTAAGATGCCCTTTGGGTGTCTTTATTCAAAAAAAAAAAAACACCGCAGGCACCTCCACGTGGTGCCGCTGGTTTAGGGGATCATCGAAAAACGGTCTAGTCATGTGAATTAAAATAGTTTGTTGGTTTGCTTGTGTTTTTCTCAATTATTCAAGAGGTCCTTTAGTTCCTGTGAACATCCAATTTTGTATCTAATTTAGCTCATATCAGTTTTAGGTACTATATCAGTCTGTATCTGTTTCGAGGCTTTCTGTATTCATTCCTAGTTCTCGAAAAGAAAAATATGAGAACAAAATATGGCAGCGCTCAGTATACTCTGCTCCGCTTTGTTTTCATCAATATAATTTGGTTGTTATTTTTCGATGAAATGAGAGAATAGGAGTACTCGTAGTTTCCATCCGATGAAGAATTGTCCTAGGCAGCTGGATTTCCCTTGCTAGATACAACGCTCTTCCTCTAGCTTTCCCCTTCCTTTCGGCCCACCAACTCTTCGTTCTCCCTTCATTGCTTTTTTCCTCATATATCCAGCTAATAATGCAATGGGTTGCTTAATATTGGTCCATTATCATCTTAAAAAGGGATATGCTACTCTAGTGTCGAGTCATTTGCACTGACAATTTGTTGCTAATGGTGACTCTACCACTCACGCACTAGTGGAACAGAGTTAGACCCAACCGACAAATTAAACAATGTTACTAACCTAATAATGTGATCGATCAGCACTGTCACGGAAACATTAGAAAACAAGCTAGCGTCATCACGGTTTTCGCACCCATAATAGCCCATGCTGCATGACGAGCTGGATTTTTTCTTCTTCTTTTGGGATGTTGCATCGAACTTGCCTGCTTACATTTGCCGCTCCTATTTGGTTTTCGTTCTTGAAATGGACAATGGGCATGGCAAGGTATGGAAAGAAGGGAATAAGATGCGCTCCAACAGCATCTCTTACTAATCCGGAAATGTTGCCTAAACAAACAATGCTCTAACGGCCGGGGTTCTAAAGAAAAGCACGCACGCACACACAAGCACGATCTCTTGTTCTACTTCCGGATCGAAGTAGCAAGAAAAAGAAGGATGTGCTTCAAATATGTATAGCCGCAAATAAGGTCTCCTACAAAGTTGTACTAAAGCTGCGACAGTTACTGTGGATCAGAGGAGGCACTAATTTACTTAAAATCTGCACCGCTAACTCTAAGACGTTTAGTCTCTTCTTCGTTGAGCAGCCGTCCATTTGAGTGGGCATGGTTGCTTCTTGTGCTAGCGCGCTACTCCCTGAGACCTGACCAAGAGGCCGTTGTAGGATGTCGCGACCCGTGCGTGGGAAAAGCATCGGTACCAGTAGAAAAATGAAGGATGGTATCGAATCGATCGAGTGCATGGTGCGTGCAAAGGTATTGGGGATCATATCAGCAAACTCACGGAGCAGAGTACGCACGCAGCTAGCGAGCGAGCTACCAAGAAGAACACGGCGAGAGAGGAGCGGGAGACGCACCGTGGGACGGGCAAGCGGCGCCAAAGAGCCTGGAGAAGAAGGGCGGCCGCCGGTGCAGCCGCTCCGGGGCGCGCAGGGCGTCGCTGCTGCCCATGCGCAGCCTCCACGACTCCGCCGCCGGCTCCGGCTCCCCCTCCTCGCGCCCGCCCGCCGTCGCCATGCGCGCGCTGACAGGTTCCTCGAGAGGTCACGTACGGGACTGGCTGGCTAAATCTTCCGTGCCTCTTCTCTTCTTACTACTCGTGGCACGTAACAACTTCCCCTACTTAAGTGCCGAGCCATGGATCCGCGCCGACTAGTTTCTTGGTGTCTCGGTCGCTTTTCCCTCCCACTAGTCCGCGCGCGTCCGGGTCGTGTCGTGTCGTGTCGTGCTCGCACCTGTTGCCGGCTCGCCGTGGACGGTGACAAGAAAAGCAGAAGGAAGCATATCCTACTCTCCTACTCCTGTCACGTGCTGGTCTAGCTAAACATGGCGACACGGCCATACCACCAACTGCTTTCGCGTAAGCAAAAGCAAATCCATCTTCTTCCGGTACTCGTAATTAAAGAGACTTTCGGCGTAGGTTCTGGTGTCGATCAAGTCGGCGACGCCGAGTTGACGACTAACCACTCTGCCTTCTCCCTCCTGGCTATTAATTAACCACTCCGTTATGTACTGGTTTAACCCTGTGTGTAGCGTTGCTACCACTTACTTTTGGCCATTTGGGGGCTAGCTGGTACTCCCTCCGTCTAGGTGAGTAAGTCATCTTAGGTTGTGCACCGTGACCAAGGAGGGGGAGAAAACGAGAGTACACAGAATCTTGACGCCGGTGGTGAAAGTGATGGAATATCTCCCCAACTTTGCGACGGCTCCATCGAGCATATATGGCATTTTTTGAAACATGCCACATTTTTTCTGGACATTATTAATTCAGTAATGTAAGAATGTTTTCACCATTCTATTTGTTTTTGACGAATTATTTCAAATTAAAAGTGATAAAAAATATGTTTCCCCAAACTAAAAAATAAATTAGATAGCAGACTGTACAGTAAATGGCCCATATAAGAGGCCCTGAGGAGATTTGGCTGTTATTCTTCGCCTAATCGAGAGAATTGACTCGCTCATAGTTTCCTTCGCATGACAAATTTGTCAGGCGAACTGCACATAGCTCAGTTTGCTGGGTTCCGTGTGGTGGAACCTTCCCATCAGAGTCCCAAGTCCTAGACTTGGCCCGGGTGGCTGTATTTTTCAGGATTTATTTCAGGCATGCCGACAGTATTCGTTCGATGATATGTCGACCATATTCTATTTGTTTCCATGTGGTGGCTCCATCAATATGAAGATCTGCCGGACTAATCTATCGAAGATGCTCTTAGGGGTAGGATTAGCGGGTGTGTGGTCACAGGGGTGAGTGTGTGCGTGTTTATGAGCGTCTGCATTCCGCATGTTTCTAAAAAAAGACAAATAGTCCTAGGCTGCTGGATTTCCCTTGCTAGAGGCAACATTATTCCTCTGGCTTTCCCCTCCCTTTGGTCCACCAATCCTTCGTTCTCCCTCCATTGCTGATTTCCTCATACCCAGTCAATAATGCAATATGTTGCTTAATATTGGTTCAATGGTTTTTTGCCTGCTTATTCTGCTCCTTTTTCTTGTTCGTAACTGAACCGTGTGGTTTTCGTTCTTAAAACGGACAATGGCCATGGCCGGGTACGGTAAGAAAGGAATAAGATGCGCTCCAACAGCTGCAAGCTCTCCTGTTAATCTGGAAATAATGCCTAAATAATGCTCCAACAGCCGAAGGTCTCATGACTTGGGATAACTCTACTTCCCGCTCAAAGTACTCCATCCGTCCGGAAATACTTGTTATCAAAATGGACAAAAATGATGTATCTAGAACTAAAATACATCTAGATACATTCTTTTTTGTCCATTTTAATGACAAGTATTTCCGGACGGAGGGAGTAATAAGAACCAGATGTGCTATGAAGATGCAAGATCTCCTAGAGTAGTGATCTGAAAGTAATGATGAAAGATGTAAGGGCCTCGTTTCCGTTGTGCTGTGACAGTTAGGACTCGGTAGCAAGCAAACCAGCTTAATGGACGTTATTATTTCTAGGGCTTGCCAGTACTCCCTTCTTCTGAAAATACTTGTCATTGAAATGGATGTATCTAGATGTATTTTAGTTCTAGATATATTAATTCTGAAAATACTTGTCATTGTAAAATTCGCGACCCGTGCGTGGGAAAAGCATCAGTGCTCACGGAGCAGAGGAGGTTGGTCGTAGTCACACATCACGTGCATGCCAGCAAACTCACGAAGCAGAGTACGCACGCAGCTAAGCTAGCTACCAAGAAGAACAAGGCGAGAGAGGAGCGGGTAAACGCACCGTCCGACGGGCAGGCGGCGCCGAAGAGCCTGGAGAAGAAAGGTGGCCGCCGGTCCGGGGCGCGCATGGTGTCGCTGCTGCCCATGCGCAGCCTCCACGACGCCGCCGCCGGCGGCTCCGGCTCCCCCTCCTCGCGCCCGCCCGCCGTCGACATGCTCCGCTAGCTCCGCGCGCGTCTCCGGTGCAGGTCGATCGTTCAAGACAGACAGGTTCGTCGAGTCGAGAGATCACGGGGACCAAAACCTTGCTATTGCCGCTTACGGCCTTGTGGAGCCGATCAGACGCAACGTCCCGCACTTAAGCGCCGGCCAGCTGCTTCCTGCTCTCTCGTCTCGAAGGCTTTCCAAGTCCGCGTCGGGCGGTCGGGTTCGTGTCAAGTCGTGCACCTACGTAGTACTTTATTTTTATTTTTTTGAGGGAACGTGCTCCTACGTAGTACTAGTACTACTTTCCAGCCCAACGCCGCACACAAACGGAAAGGAGGCCTACTCCGGTGACGCGCTAGCCAGACCTGACGACACGGCCACACCAGCTTTCGGGCAAGCAAAGCAAAGCAAATCTATGGAATCGGTCCCGGGTTAAATAGCCTTTCGGGCGGCGGCCCGGCGTACGTACGTACGTGGTGGACGGCGACACGTACCGCGGTCAGGTCGACGATGCCAAGTTGCCGACTCCGGCGAGGTGCGCGCGCGACGCGGGTCTCAGCCACTTCGCTCTCTTTCCCCCTCCTGGCTACTGCTGGCTGCCATGACGGCTCGACGAGGCGATGGCGCCAAGACACAGACAGACCCGTGGTTGCCGGGTGCACGCAACGTAACGGGGTGGGTGCACCGTGGTTCACGAGCCTTGCCGCTTTCCAACCCAAGTCCGACGGAAAGATGCACACTCCTGGCACGCGGCGGACATGGCACGGCGACGCGGCTGTGTGGCCTTTTCTGGCAAGCGAAGCTATCTAGCCATCGATCTGGTGCAAAAGGACACCTCCGTGCACCGGCGTGCGTGCGTGGCAGACGGTGACGGCTACCGTCGTTCGATCGATCGGGGTCGACGATGCCAGGTTGCCAGCTGCGGCGACCGGCGAGGCGAGCGCGACGCGAGTCTCCGAAAGGCAATGGAAGCAAAGCAATCTATGTATCTGGTAGTGGTAACTTTGATCGATGAGGTCGACGATGCCAAGTTGCCGGCGACGGCGAGCGCGTGCGCCACTGCGCGACGCGCGCACGAGTCGTGCCGTGACGGCACGGCGAGCCAATGACGCCAACACTCGTGGTTGGTGGGTACACGTAAAGGGGCACGCCATGGCGGTCCACGAGTTTTGCCGCTCTAGAATTCTTTTTCAGCTAAAGTCCTAGTCACCTTTAAAGGTATTTTCAGACAGACAGAAGGCTGAGTGGCCAGTGGCAACATGCATCCATAAAAGTTATTTACCCTAAACCATCACACTTGAAGTTAGGATAACAACTTGGTATCATATTTGAACCTGGGCACAAAAGACCATCGGTTCTGCGCCTAATGCGAAACGCGAAGCACTGATACCTAAATTTGGTCACGAACACAACGAAACTGACTGATGGGGCCCGCCTGCCGGTCGACGTGGCATGCCTATCTGGATAATTCGCTAAGGTGGACGTAGGTCCCATCTGTCATCCTCACGCACCTCCTTCATCATCCCTGTCTTTCTCTCTCTCCCCGACAAGCAACGCAGAGGATGCCGCCAGTGGCCAAGCTCAGGCTGGACCCATGCCTCCACCGCCATGGTCGGCCACCACGGTCGTCCCCGTCGGCAGCCTGACGAGCCATCCTTCCTCAGCCATCAACCTCCTCCTCCCGTCCAGGCCGCTGCGGCAATGCGTGCCTCGCCCCAAGAAACACAACTCGAGCCGCTTGCTTGCCGGCCACCGACCGCGATGTGGCGCCCGCGACCCTGCAACCCGGGATCTGGCACCCAGGACCCCGCTATCGTCTGCATCGGCCGTCGGCGTCCGCACCATGCGGCACCCACGTTCGCATTGAAGCGGCATCGATCAGCCGTCTTGTGATGCTGATCTGACCGACATGAATGTAGGTAAGCAGCCGTTCGATCACGTCCGCTTTAAGCGACATTGAATATGTGACAAAGCTTCTAAACAAGAACTCGTGAAGAGGGTTTTGAGTGGGATCGCAATGTTGAAGGCCTACGGATGTTCGGACTCATGCAAACCTCCTGTCGATTTACCTTCGGTTCACCGGAATTCGGACATGTGGATCAATCCATAGACATCAGCAAGCGACTCAGCATGGTGTCGAGTTGCTCACATGTGGACGCAATGACACGCGCTCGATCTATGTGTTGCTCTCCATCAGGCTATGCATTAGTTTTTTTCTTTCTCTTTTGTATGTTGTGTCATTTGACTGAGACTTGATTGAAATCCTTCCGTAAAAAGGAAGAGAGACTGAGACCTAACCAAACCCTTAAGTTATAACCACACACGCATATCCACGTCCGTCCTTGTGATCATCACGCAATTAAGCACGCAAAAAGGATTCCACGGACCACAGCCCTTGTTCATGTCATCAGTTAGCAAAAAACTATTGTAGGGTGGCTCACCCTCGTACAACACGACAATGCCAGCACGCTTCATCATCAGGAGAACAAGGGAAAGAAATGCAGTTTAATTATTTAGACCAGGCTCCGGCATGCATGCATGCATGCATGGCGCCCAGTTGTGAGCAAGTGACTCTGCATGCGCCACACGTAGACGGCATGACAGGTCAGACTGCCGCGCTCGATGGATGTGTTGCTTTCCATCAGGTCACGCGTTTCAGGATTTCTTCTATAAATGAGGGAAAAAGTCTAAATTAAACTTTAAATTTGTAGGCGAAAATTAAATGAAACCCTGAACTCCAAATTTCTGAAATCAGCACACCAAACTCGCGGATCCCGGTCTATTTTGAACCTTGACAGGATTTAGCTGGGATTCGCTGACTTGGGCCGGCCCATTAGCTGAGTTGCTCGTGCTGCTCTAGTTTTTCGCTTTTATTTTGTTTCTTTACCGGTAACTGATTTTCTTTTTACACAAGTCTAATTATTCTCGGTAGCCAATGTACGTTTTAGCACAGACATGGAATATTTTTTATACACTTTTGACATTTTTCAAATACATTATGTACATTTTTTAATATATACATGTTTTCAATTCTTTTTTGAATACACGGTAATATTTTTCCAAATACACGTTTTACATTTTCTTAACGACAATAAACATTTTATAAACTACATGAACATTTTTTACTCTGTTACACATTTTTCAAATTGTATACACTTCTTTCAAACACATGTCACATATAGTCTTTTAAGGGTCTGACACATTTTTCTACATCACGCAAAATCTTTTTTACATTGTATACACTTTTTTTAAATCCCACAAACACATTTTTCGAATCGCACGAATATTATTTTACATTACACAATTATTTTTGAAATGCCACATACATTTATCTAAACTCGCGATATTTTTTAGATGTCATAAACATTTTCTTTGCACATTTGTTCAGGTTTCAAAATTTGTTCCCAGTTTTACAATTCGCAAATAATGTTCGCACCTTCAAATTTTCTTCATGTTTCTAAATGTTTATATTTCAGAAAGTGTTCGCTTTTTCAAAAAATAGTTCTTTCTTAAACTATTCAGAAATTCAAAAAGTGCTCACACTTTATAAAATGTTCGGGCATTTCCAAATTTGTTTATGTATTGAATATTGTCCTAAAAATGTTTTAAAAGTTCTAACGCTTCGGCCGCCGCTTAAATACAACATGCCTTTTACTACATCGCTCATAGTTGTCTGCTCTAGTGGCTAGCGGGATGAGCTCAACTCAGCCTGGTCCCAAGTTTGACTCTGCGAGAGTCTTTTTGTTACTTCGCGCTTTGCGGAATAGAAAGACTTTTTACATCACGCCTTAAGAAAAGGAAAAAAACACTTGCTGCGTGCCTGATGGGCCGGCCCAGTAAAGTCCAGAGCTAACAATCCCGGGATTTAACATGCCACGTCAACAATCCCTGTTTGGGAACTCACTCAAGGTTGAAAATAGACCGGGATCAGAGAGTTCGGTGTGCTGATTTCCGGGATTCAAAGTTTGAGGTTCCATTTAGCTTTTGTCTATGAGTTCAAGGTTTATTTTAGACTTTTTCCATAAATGAGCGCGCACACACACATATAGATGTTGTATATCCTCCTTGTGATCATCAAGCAATTAATTAGAGTAAGCAGGGGGAAAGAACTCGTTCCACGGGCCACAAGATATTCCCTTGTTCATGTCATTTATCAAAAGAAAATAGTGTGGCTCACTCTCGTACGACACGACAAGACCGGAATTCATCAGTTCAAACGGCTTGAGGAGAACAAGGAAATTATTCTACAATTGCTTTTGGAGGGCTGTTTCATTGTTGTTTTTAGAAGAGGAGGAATAGAAAATAGGGCCAGGAAACTTCGTATGCAGCTTTCTGTTGGACTTGCCTACGTCACAATGATTGCAAGTTTGGAACCGGGCGGAACCGAAGGACGAGCAGGGCGTCCGGCCGGCGGTGGCAACGAGCGTGGACGCCACTGAGTGACCATGAGCGTCGCTCGGTGCACGGTTGGTGGGACGAAATGGCGGCAGCGGCAGCAGCATCGTCAGGCAGCACTAGTTGTTGTTATATCTAATCGTGATCTTATCTTGCAAAAGTTAACTGCGGCCAGTTAAAAGCAATACGAGTCGTGTTGCAAATCTGTAAGAGGTGGTGCTACGTGCAGCTCTTCTCACTTGGTTCCAAAAAGAACCAGGCCGATTAACGTGAAGAGTGGGGCGAGATATATACAGCGGCCAGCGTGCAACCAAGAGGAAATGGCAACGGAACAGCAGCAGCGCACAGCAAAATCAATCTGTATTTCAAATGGACGGCAGAAGCAGCACATACATGGATCATGCGCGGAATGGTAACACAACAGAGGAGCAAACGCTGCAATGGAAGGAAGAAAGAGGAAGCATGAATCATACCGTGGCCACGCATGAAGACGCGGCTGGCGAAGGGCGGCGGCTCCTTGGGCCGCTCCGGCATCCGGAACTGGAGGTCGCTGACGTTGAGCCGCCACGCCGCCGCCTGCTCCTTCCCCATGCCAGACGACGGACCACAACAC